GCAACTTCTGTTGTAAAAAAGTGAAATACTTAGGACATTACGTTACTAAGGAAGGCATCTCAGTTGATCCACAAAAGACCGCTGCTATTGCAGATATGACGTCCCCAACCTCTATTAAACAAGTGCAAAGCTTTGTACAAACCTGTTCCTGGTAGCGGCGATACATCCCAAACTTTTCTCAAATTGCAAAACCACTAACAGACTTAACTAAGAAAAATGCAATGTGGAAGTGGGGCTCTGAACAAGAAGAAGCTTTCAGAGATCTAAAGTCAAAACTAGCGTCTCCTCCTGTCCTTAAGCCAGCTGACGGTACCAAGCCGTTTGCCATCCGAACAGATGCCAGTAGCGTGGCCCTCGGAGCAGTTTTACTCCAAGGAGAAAAAGATGAGGAACACCCAATAGAATACGCAAGCCGATTACTTTCGTCCTCTGAGCGAAATTATTCTACCACAGAAAGAGAAGCTCTTGCAGTTGTGTGGGCGCTTGAAAAATTTAGAGGTTACGTTGAAGGACAAACTATTAGACTCTCCTCTGACCACCAGCCTTTAAAATGGTTATTATCTTTGAAATCTCCCACCGGAAGACTTGCAAGATGGGCACTACAGATCCAATCTTATAATCTAACAATCGATTACATTCCCGGAAGATCGAACTTTATTGCGGACTTATTGTCTAGACCCACAGCAGAGCAAGAAAAAGCAGACTGTGATATTCTTGCTGTTTTCGTCGATTTTCCCACACGCTCACCTAAAGAAGTTCGCCAAGAACAATTGAAGGATGACGAGTTGAAGAAAATAATTGAATGTTTTGAAAACAATGAGAAGGGTGTAAATTTTGCCAACTGGTTAGAAAGAGGATACCTCATGAATCAAGGAATCTTATTCCGTTACTCACCTACTTCTGAAAGTGAAGATGCCCAATTAGTTGTGCCAATTCACGAAAGACAAGACATTTTGAAAATTCACCATGATGCCCCGAACGCAGGTCATTATGGAGCCGATGGAACGTTTGAAAGAATCTCCAAACGGTATTATTGGACAGGTATGCGTTCTTACATCACTGATTATGTAAAGAATTGCACAGAATGCAATCGCTACAAACCATCCAACCAAAAACCTTCCGGACTCTTACGTACACCTGTGTATTCTCAACGTTTTGAGACAATTTCCATTGATCTCTTTGGACCTTTGCCTGAAAGTCCATCCGGAAAGAAGTGGATATTTATTGTTGAGGACTGTTGCACAAGATGGGTTGAGCTTTTTGCTCTCCCTCAAGCCACTGCTAGAGAATGTGCTACAACTCTAATGGAAGAAGTTTTATTACGATACGGCTTACCCAGAAGATTAATTAGCGACCATGGCTCTCAGTTTGTGGGTGCCGTCATGCAACAACTTTGTTTCATACTGAACATAGATCAAGACATTATTCCTGTTTATCATCCTCAAGCAAATCCTGTTGAAAGAAAAAAACCGTGACCTAAAACCAAGAATTGCTATCTTAGTTCAAAATCGACACGATGAATGGGAAGATAAGTTGCCGTCTATCCGTTTTGCTCTGAACAGTGCCAAGTGTGATACCACCGGTAAAACTGCTGCTTATCTGCAGTTTGGACGAGAGATGAGAACTATAGATGATGTAACCAACGACTTTCGAGCCATCATAGATAATGAAAATTTCGTCCCAGAGATTACCCCATATTTGAAAAGATTAGCAAGAATCCCTTCTGAAGTCCGTGAAAGAATTGAAGAGAAACAAGATCAGCGAAAGACCTTCTATGATAAAAGACACCGTCCTGGTCCCTTGTATCATCCAGGTGATAAAGTCTGGGTAACCCTTCATCCCCTCAGCAATGCTGCCCACAAGAAGACATCTAAATTCATGCCCAAAAGAGATGGGCCTTATATTATTGTGACTCAACGCTCTCCGACGACTTACGAAGTGGCAAATCCAAACAATCAACTTGAGGTTCTCGGACCTTACCATTCATCTGCTCTTCGTCCATGCATAGACAAGGAAGCCACTCCAGTGATGCCTCTCAGAAAAAGAGGAAGACCCAGTAAAGACAACTCTGCTGGTTCCTCATCGAGGACGATACCTAGGAACCAGAGGGGGAGTGTAACGAATGGTAATAGAGCGCCCTCTCCTGGCCGTATGAACAAGT